ATTGTTTTCTTTATATGAATGATGGTACCTAATGTACAGTTATTCTGTTAAATTTTATTTAAAGTACAGTCTTGGTTGCAGAATGTCACACAAAGAAATAGAATTTCATCATGAATGATGAATAACGAATGTGAACTGTACTTCTTACTTTGTTTCATACATTAAAATTATTAAAAGTATACATCTGCTTATAGTATTAAAGAGAGATAAAGATTTTAAAGAAATATGAACCTACAGGTAAGTACAGTACAACGCGGATCCCGTATTAGACCGCGTCCCCTCCGCGGTGTATTAATCCTTTCCGCGTTACACCGTCGCGGGTTTTGATCGCGGTGCTACCTGAGACCGTGTTTACACCGCGGCGGGGCCAGCTACCGTTATTCTTCAGCTAAGATGTTCTTACCTGTAAAGTATTGTCGATTTTTAATCGTGTCGAAATGAGGGGGGGGGGGGGGGGGATTACGAGCACATTGATATTATAGATTTATACCATTACATGGATTCTTTAAAAATTCATTTTTTAAGTTTTATCAAATTGTTTAATAAAAAACATCTTTTTTTTTGTACCAATAGTCACTCAAAATTAATTAATTCTCAAACACGTCTGTTAACAGTAATACATGTACAGTATAGGATGAAATAAAGTCGAATAATTTATCGAATATATTAACTTAAAGTTTATTTTCAAAATCAATAATGCCACCCCAAATGATCTTCAAATTGCTAAAAAGGTATAATTAAAATTTAAAGAATGCCATGATATCGCTTCTCTTTATATGCACTGGTGTAATCCGGTGTTCACAATTAGCCCGTGCAGTTGCAGTTACATGTAGCTATGTGTTTATTTATCTGTGAGATTATATCAGTCATTTGGTTTCATTTAGAAAACTACCGTTACTTCTGTATACATATCTGTTATAAATAATAGCATGAAAAACGATGATAGATAGTGATACATAATTACAATTAAATTTTAACAAAACACGCGTAAGTGTAGGAATACCGTTGTTCCATTATTATGCGCTACACTGTAAGACTATGAACTAAATATCGACGATTTTTATTTGTTTTTGGTTTTTTTTTTAGTTTTTTTTTTGGGGGGGGGTTATTGTTAATAAAATAATCACAGGTCATTCTATTCAGAATATCAATAATATCATAGCTAGTATTTGAATGTATTTCTATTTTCTGCTCTTTTCGAAAATTACTAAAATCATGTCAATGAACATAAACAAATTTCAGATTTCTCCGGTTCAAATAAAACACAAACACAAATATGGGCCCTTAAAATATTTGAACACACAACACAGAAATTAACTTATTTTAATCAGCAAGTTGCCAAGCTTCAAGTTTTCAGATGTCTGTGTTACCGTTCGGTTTTCCTCAGGTAAGTTTGGTGTGGAGTGGAGCTTACTCGAAGCGGATGAGAAGCCCCGAGGGAACGACGCTGTCTAGTGTACATACTACCTATATACACAGGATGTTACCTGAGTGTATTACCTGTATGCGACGACATTGTAAAACGAAGCCGTTTTTTTTTTTGTGTCTCTAAAATGAAACATTGTTACAAACTACATACTACCTAAAACAAGTATTACCTGTGTTTTCCTACGACATTGTAAAACGAAGCCGCCTTTTTTTTCATGTGTAGCTCATGGATTGAAATGCATGAAATAAAGAATTCAATGTTTTTGTTGCAGACAGAATCCTTTTTAAATTTTTTGTTTCAAATAAATATTTTCAATAATTCGACAATTTTAATATACTGTGTTTTTCTTAATCAAATTTTATAACAAAAATACATTTTTTTTTTACCACCAAAATCTGTCGTTGTAATCTGGCGACAAAAAGGGAAGTAATTCAAATTACATGTCATGTACATATGCTAAACGAAAGAAGAAAGTGGATCATAAACAAGTCTCTCGATAAATAACAATAAAACTTAGACAAAATCCACAAATGGTCAATAAACTGATAAATCAGCGGTAGTTTTATTCGCTAGACTTAAGAAATTGATATACTGATCAAAAAGGAGGAAAAACGATCATACACGTGCCTTAATATTGTGATATTTTTCTTCTCTCTCTGTCTCTCTCTCTCTCTACTAACTGGTACAGATATAAACAGACACGAAATAAGATAGTAATGGATCATTATTTGATTTAAGTAATATCCAATACTTCATTAATTTGTTTTAAAAGTTTGCTTTTTTTAAAAACTTTTATTCTTTTTTATACACTCCGTTTAAAAAAAGCAACAATAATTTGACACAAATTCCAAGGCTAATATCGCATCTGAAAATGATATCGATGAAATAATAATGAAACAATGAATCAAATGTGTTGTTGAATGGCTAGACAACGATGTGCACATCCAGCGAGCGTTACCCAAGGTATACTCTAAGACAGGTGTGAAACCCCCAGGGCATGTCGTTTCCTGCTCAGGCACTGCTAATCCCTATACACAGGAAATGATCGCGGCTAATACTTAATACACAAAGAAACAGAATTTGTCAAAGAAAACAAAAATATATGAATTTTTGCATTGAATATTTATTAATATAAACTATAATTTCGTCTGTGAAGTTTATCATTACACCTGCACATCCTATCTTATCTATTGAACACGAAAATCGAGAAATATTAAAATTAAAAAGAAAGACATTGTTTTAAAAAGTAATACATGTTAATATGAAGGTGAAAAACGATATTTTTTCTTGATCTCTTGTATAAAGTTCACGTGCTCAAAGTTAACTCTCGCCATCGAATGCTTTTCGGTCATTTGACAATTTGAGAAAAATGCCTGCACATTTATATAAAAGAGGGAAATAAATTAAAGAAAAGTTTTCTTAATTTGGGAACAGAACATAAACGATGAGAAATAAAGAAGAAAAGAACTTTTTTCTTGATATCTTGGATAAAGAAAATTTAAGTTCACGTGCCCTCTACATGTAACTGCAAATGCTCGTCATCGGATGTTTTCCGGTAATTTGACACTTTAAGAAAAAGCCTGTACATTTTATATACAATAAATCGAAATTAATTAATAAACAATATGAAGATGTACATTTTTTAAAAAGATGTACATCTTTTTTTTTTTCAAATGAATGCTGAAAATCGTTTATCGAAACTTAAACAGTCTGTGTTCAACATTTATTACAGTTTGCATATAATATGAAGATTTAGAAAAAAAAAAACTAATTAAAATTTCTAGTATTTAATTTTGTTTCTTGATAGATTCTTAATAACACAAAATAATTAACCATTGCAAAGACGTAACAATTTAATAAAATTTTCTATTCAATTTCAAATATTGATATGTAATTTTAGAAACAAAAATAAACTTATTTTTTCTTAGTTTAAATTCTATTCATAGCAAAATTAATTAATAAACACACAGTTTTTTTTTGTTTTTTTTTTTGTTTTTTTGTTTTTTTTGTTTTTTTTTTTGTTTTTTGTTACAGGGAAAATTCGCAAATTACAATTCGGGGAGATAACTCCCGTTTGTTTACGATACTAATTGTCAGTAATTGATCGATGATTTAACCGCGGCGGGGACAGGTAGGTGATGAATTTCCCGCGGAGGGAACGCGGTTTACCTGTCTACCTGGCCAAATACCGCGTTGTGATTATACCGCGGCGGGGACGCGGGAAATACGGGATCCGCGTTGCCGATTTTAAAATGATTCTACCATAGAATCAATGTTTAGTTTGTATATAAAAGTATATGTATAATAGAGAAATTCAGATCCACAAATGAATATGAAAATGGGAAATGCGGATTTAAAAGCGCGATTTGACAATGAATAGCATATTCTAATTCGAATAGGGCGAATTATTCTACGGGCAAGTTACCTTAGGTGCGAACTCTCTAGCATTCTCGCGCCTGCGTAGCCTGTCGTTTGCCCATGGCATCCGGTTTAACCTCCCTTATATATTTACTGCGTGGACCTCAGGGTCCACGCAATGAAGTATACATACCAAATATGAAGTCTCTCTCTCATTGGTTCAAAAGTTATGGCGAAGGTTAAAGTTGACAACAAAAACAGAGAGGACAAAAACAATACACGCCTCGGATCTGTCGATCCAGGCGCATAAGTATATAGGACTGTCTAGCTGGAGTATAAAAATTAATTTTAATTGGATAAAAACTTTACTTTATATCGTATAAAATGAGGAGTTGACTTCGTCACATTGACTTCCGTCAAAAACGTATCAATCCACCTGACGTTTAATACATTCAAATTTTGTTAAGGAATGAAGCTTATTTCAACTTTTTTTATACGATATAACTTAACTTGGAGCAGGTTACGCTTTATAAACTTGAAATAAGCTTCATTCCTTATAATTTAATTTCAGTGTAGACAAGGAGCCAACTTTTTTCAATGCCAACTTCTCTTTTGACCTACCATACCCCCCCCCCCTTCCCCCTGTTGCTACTTGCTTGTCCGTGGTCACAAAATTAACCCTGGGCTGGTGTGGGAGAAGGTATCCTAAATGACCTTATAAAAATGAATTTCTGTGTTCTTTCTATTTTAATATTTCTTCACTTATGGTAGTTATGTTAGTTTAAGAATCGTTGTAAATTGTGCTTTGGAAAAAAATAAAATTAATCAAATTTTCATTTCATTGTGAATTGTAGCTGCAGAACTGTAGCTCTCCGAAAATTATATACATGTATTGACAGACTGGAGAGATCTCAGTGGTCCTCCATCCCATTTTTTTCAGACCAGCTGCAGAGAGCTACAGATATGCAGCTAGTACGTGTAATGGTAATGATCCTTTTACAAAGCTAATGTCCAAATAACTATCTCACTTCCAAATTCCATCGGAATCGAAAGCAAGTTTCTTTAGACTTGCCTAGAAAGCCGAACTTTCAAAAGCACTGTTCTTGCACTGCTAGGAACAGATTTCGTAGGTTGAAAGTTCACACAGGGCTAAGGCAGAAGTAGGTATCGTTATAAAAGTGATTTTTTTTTTTGCATTCAATATAAAACTTACCATTCCTTGCATGGTAACATACGACTCCGGCCCTATTACTATAGCCGCAGCTACTAGATCCAACTACAGAATGAGAACACTCTAACAAGGAGCTTTCTTTTCCATTACAATTGAGGCCATCCAACCACACATCTTTATCACCCCCTCCAAATGCGGACGAATGAGCTGGGAGACCTCTACAAAAGACACTTTATCAATGTTGCCTTGTGTCATAAAATTAAAAAATATATCAGTTATTATTCATTTATTCACAGAATTGTTGTTTGAAAGTAAATTATGAAAAACGCTTTAGAAAATACCCTGAATATCCCAAAACTTTACAAGTCACATCAGCTTCCCTTCTGTCCCAATATCCGTCGCAAACACTTCTCCATTGACCATTTATCAAAACTTCTATCCGACCCTCTTGTGCAGAGCTCCCGTTAACAATCCTGATTATAACTAGTAATGGACATTAACGAGTGAATTTTCTTACTTTAAAAATGAGAAAATATTAAACAGTCGAAAAACATGTCCTTGCCGTTCAATCTTATAAATATGGTTACAAAAATGATCGAAAACAAATAAAAAAAACCCTTAAGGTAAGTCACTCGTCAGCTATTTAGAAAAGTTCACGCAGAAGCTTTTACTTCAAAACTACTTATTAAAATTCAATTTTTATAACATATTTAAATTCAACAATGTAAATTTTTTAACATTCAATGAAAAAACTGCTCAAAAATCTACAAAGAAGCAAGATTTATGAGGGACTATTTCTTTTGGTGGAAGGATATTTAGCAGAAAATTCTGCAAATCTGCACATTTATAAAATTTAATGTAATGGAAATTCAGCCTCGCATACTTTTACTCGGAGAATATTTTCCGTTTTGATATTGCTTAAAATATTTAATATAGGTCTCAATGTATATTTTTAGACTAAGTTTTACACCTTCCCTCAACAAACTTTTCCAAAAAATGAAAATATATTAAAGAAGTCAAGATCAAATTTACACCATTTTTTGCCTGAAAATCACATATTTTGACAAATATTTCAAAATTAACATCACTGACCCCATCTTTTTCTTTCATTATTTTAAACTACTCGATACTTGTGACTGATCAGCACTTAAGTCGTAAAAAGTTTGATATAAGAAAATTTTTTATTGCTTATTAAGTTTTTTAAAACCCCAAATATGTTATTTTTTAGTGCAAAAAGGTCACACAATAATTTACGCGCATTAATTTGCAAGATTTGTTTAATGATAAATATTATTCAAACTATTTTACGTAAAATAAGATTATATTTATTGCCATGCTTACATCTGATCAAATATAATAAGGGTTAAAGTAATTAACCAAAGAGATGAAATTTAAGTGCAATAAGGTCAACTTAAATGTACCGTAGATCAGTAGGATGCACACTGACCCCATATTTTCTTTGCGATTTTGAGTTACACTTTATGAGTACTTATCCAAAATATACTTCTCAAAAAATCCTTGATTAAACAAATTTCAGGAGTGACTTACCTTAAGATACAAGAGTTGGGTCTTTTATATTTTAAAATACAGAAGGGTTAATTATCTTTAAAGAATAAAGTTATATTGTGTCATACTAGTGTGAAATATACCGAGAGATTATTTTTGAAAACATCATGGCAGACGCTCTTACCCTAGATATCAATGTGAAGAAGGGGGAAAGGCGTTATAAAGATCGATTTGGCAAATGTCTGAACAGACAGACAGTCGTCTGATTTATTCATTTTCTATAATATTATTATAAACATAATAATAATAGTTCTTTATTGAAAGAAGGTTACCCGATTAGTGCAAGCACTACTTTTTCCTGGAGAAGGTGTCAATTTTCTGAAAATGTTTTATATTGTCAATTTTGTCAAAATTTTAAAGAGCTATTAATTGTAATGCACATTAGACCTCTAAGTAGTTGTATTCGAGTAAGAGGATCGTGTTGGTGTTAATGACTATAGTGGAAGTAACATAGTGCTCAAGGAAAGAAAAACTATCAGATGACTAAGGGACGTAATTAGTTGATCAATATCAACTTGCGGCCTAGTTCTTTGTATAAATAATTACATAAAATATCTATAACATTTGTTAAAATGCATACAAGTAGAGGACAGTCACTATGATATAAACACTTAAATTATCTTAGATACTCACCACCTGTAGAAGGATAACAAATGACACCGGCATTCCGCCCAGAAATGTGACTGTTTGCTCCTATGACTGATTTTGAACATTGCAATAGAGAAACTTCATGCCCTGTGCAATTAATTCCGTCCAACCAGTTATGTGAATTTCCCTCTCCGAATACGGTCGAAGCAGTCGGGAGGCCCCTGTCAAATGCACCATTTGTTTAGGTTATAAGATGTTCTTTGATTGAATTCTCGTCGTTATGCATTTTTTCTCTTTTGTCAGTGACCTTGAACTTAGCTATGCATGTAGCTGCAGAACTGTAGCGTTATGGTTTTATTTATCGGACTTTGACACATAAAACCATAACGCTACAGTTATGCAGCTAGATATTAGCGGAACTGGCCTTGTGTCAAGGCTATGACACATCCTTTATGATATTGATTGACTGTATATTGTTTAACGCTCCTCTCGAGTCTCGAGAATTTTCTCACTCATATGGAGACGCCGATGTCCTATACTCTGCACTCAAGGCCATTGATCGGGGAGGGGTCTTTTTTGTGCCAGCACCTACTGCGACACGGGACCTCAGTTTATGTTGTCTCATCCGAAGGACCTGCTCCACAGTGGGATTCGAACCCGCAACGTTTGGATCAACTCATTACTTTGAGACTCTAGAAGAAACGTTCTTATCACTGCACCACCCTTTATGACGTAATATCAAATGTGAAGTTTGAAAGTAATATTTTTTCAACTTTTGGCCTTAAACTTGCCAAAAAAAAAAACCAACCTTGGGGTTTTAATGAAATATTTGTGTTCAATGTTAACTTTTAATTGACCTTCATTTGAGAGTTTTAAACAGGATATGAAATAAATCCTCGTGCTCTCTCCCTCTCTCCCTCTGCCTTTTTTGAATCAGTGATCTTAATGAAGCTTGAGCGACATGGTGTGTTAAACAATACATACTCATATGAAATATGTACAATACATGTAAGTATGAGCCGCTATTGCTCCTTATTACTATAAATCAATTATTTTTCGGGATTCATTTATTCGCGAGTTACCAGTTTAAATTCAATCTGCGGCTTCGCGGATATGTCTCTCTCTCTCGAAAAAAAAATAAAGTTTGGTCTACAGTAACAGGTCAAGATCATAACTCATTTTCATGTCATAATAAAAGTTTGTTTTATAGAGAAATATGAAAATAACGACACATTAATCGGGTGAGTATCATTACCGCTTCATTTTCGAAATTTTCATTACCGCTACATAGCCATTACCGCTACAAAAAACGTTACATTACCGCTACATTTAAAACATGTAAAAGTATGCATTACCGCTACATTGCCCCTTTCGTTAGCCATCAACTTATGCGTGTACAGATTGATTTAAAGTACAACATACATGTATAGAAGTATAAATCCTTTCCTGTTTCCCATGCTCACCAAGGGGAGGTGAAAGTAGGACTTTGAGCGGGATTTTTTTCATTTAATTTTTTGTTTGAGATTTATTCTATTTCTAAAAACTTCTGTTTAGAAACCGAAATTGTACTTTACTACACATTGAGTGAATTGTGTTGATTGGAACTAATATTCCGTACCATACCTGGCTATTTCAATATGTAGCGGTAACGAGTTGTTTTCGGCTGCTTCAGTATGTAGCGGTTATAAGTTGTTTTCGGCGAAAAAAATGTAGCGGTAATGATCAGTCGAAAATTTGAAAAAATGTAGCGGTGATGAGTTTTGGGGATGTAGCGTTAATGTTGACCTCCCCATTAATCAAGCTTACGGTCAAATAAAACAATACAAATTGGGATAAGAGCAAACACAATCTTTAAAAACGACAGAGGTGGGATCGGGTGCCATGCAGGAGTAAGCATTCCCTGTCGACCGGTCACATTGCCGTTTGCTCCTTGTCCCGTCTTGGCAAGCGGATAGAATATACATGTATAAAGTTAACATAAAAGTTATGCAAACTAGATGCACACAATTCGTCAAGGTGCATCACACCTGTAACCACCGGTATCATTCTATCAAATTCTGAATTTGCAATTTTTTTTAAAAAAATTTACAATTGACGGATTCGATATGAAAGTACATGTATTTACCCAGAATATCCAAGAGACCGACACGCTACGTGTGCATCATTTGCATTCCACAGTTCATCACTGATAGCTCCCCATTTTCCGTTTATCATAATCTCAACTACACCTTCGCTAGGGGATTTTCCATTAGAAAATCTTATATTGCCTGAAGTTAAAATTAAATAAATTAAAATAGATAGTTTTTCTTTTATTAAAAAACATTAAAGTTTTTAGAAACAAGTTACTTACGATTTGGAAGAAAACATATTACACCAACATCTTTTGCATGGCTGCAATTATGTGTTGTTGAATGCGCACAGTCAAGTATATTGTTTTCATTACCGGAACACTGTACTCTATGTAAAAGAATCGGACCACTTCCCTCTCCAAATACTCCACTTGCAACGGCAAGTCCGTTTCTAAAATATACATTAACATTAAATGTATCTCAAAAATTGTGATTTGATTTGACAACAAAACTGAAATAAACGGGATCTCGCTATAATTAAATTGCCGTCTGTATACTCTCAATGTGGCAGAAAAATGGCAGAATCGCAACGATTCGATATTTCAAGAAAACATCATTTGAAAATAATAACTTAATAATTAGTATAAGGAAACTTTTAAGAGTGTGGATATTCACTAAAACAACTAATCCATAATGAGAGAAATAGAAATAAAAAGTTATATGCGTAAATAATTCCAAATTTTGCTCGTGCGCCGACAGACCATGTCGGCCTTCATAGAAATCGTCCCAATATTATTAATATGAAAGATATATAATTAAAAGCTCACAATTTTAAAGAACATTGAATATGTTATGTCTAAGCAAAATTTGGTAAGTATCGGTTGCAGGTAAACAAAGCTATAAACATTGTCTACGACATTTTGGGACAACCCTCGTACATCTTATTTTTTTAATAGAATTTAAAAGTTCGAAGTAATTTTCAATGCGTATTTTTTTTAGAATTCAAGGTGTGCATGGAGTTGCAATTGATATGGTAAAATACAAGACTGGGTCTTTTTGTGATTAAGAATTTTAGTTAAATAAACTATGTCAATTCCTTTGTAGTCCAGTCAATGAACGACAGAATTTGCAAAACCTAAAACAAATTGCAAAAGAATGTTTAACACTATATTTTGTTCACATATTAAGTAATTATTGCAGGGGAAAAAGTCGCAATTTGTATATCAAGGGGAAAGTGGTTTTTATGGATCTTAAAATGTAATATTGGTGTCACCGATCGCGAGAAAATGTCACATAAATGATGGACATATAGGAAAGTTGTGCTCTTTGAAACTGATCTAATGTGATGAAACAAAACGTGGTGTAGGTTTATAAGCTTACAGACTTTTAGTAAAATCCAATACAACTTTATTTTTATTCAAATCTAGACAATTTAGAATATTGATATGACCTTTTTGCACTCCATAAACAAAGTAACGTGTTTTAAAGTTCAACAATTTATACACCGTTTTTACAATATAATAGGGTACAGATATAGGCCTGAATGATGCTGTTAAAATTTGTAAATCTTTCAATTTCAGATAAAAGTACTACCAGCATAATTATCAAAATTATAAAATAGTAAATGACATTATATACTTGGTGTCTAAATACCGCGAAAATAAATGGTTTTACGTAATACAGAAGAATGAATTATTTGTAATCGGAGTGAAAATGTAAATAAGAAATTCAATATTTAACAAATTACAGTATCTGTTTGGATTTAATAAACCCTTAAATTATATAATTAGTGGATATATAAAGAAACAGTTATCTTTCCATCTGCGGGGGGGGGGGGACTTTCATTTACTGTATATTCAGTGCTTTTAAATATTTTTGCGATCAGTTTGAATCCGAAAAAAGAAAACACGCAAAGAATAAATGCATGACTGTACAAATTATATATAAATATTTTAATATTTTCTTTTAAAGACGGATATACGGTAGCGATGTTTTAAGTCCATAAAAAAGAAATATTCGTAACTTGTGTAAGTATTTTTAAAATTCAGAAAAACAGCATACTATAAATAACATTTGAGAATTTTATAAATTATTAAAACATACTAAAGTCTGTGATATTAAAAATATTGAATATTGACAATGCGACATTCTACTATGCGGTAT